ATTATGTGGTTTTCAGATATACAATATTCCCGAGGTGAGACATTGTAGGCACCACGCGATAATGTTTAGACCGGAAGTATGCATTTGGTACCACAGTGGTTAATGGATTACAGTGGTTAATGGACCACAGTTTCGACTGTTCTGTATAGTACTCTCTCTCTCTTAGATCTCTCTTAGTTTGATCTACAAATGCAAATCAATTTATATAAAGCCGGCATTTATTGCTAGTCGGCAGAAAAAGAGTAGTAAATTTGCTATTATAGAAAACTCCGCAAGTGACCTAATTGTATATTTTATTTAACATATTATACTTTTAATATATGTTAAAGCTTTTTATCAAACTCAAGAAGGGTGATTAGTCAATATATACTTCAAATTATTATTTTTATTCTGTAGACATTTTAAATAAAATATTTTTTTCTAAACATCAACTACAAATTTGGTAAATCATAAAACAAAACTACTTCAACATTTTGTCGGTACATTTCTAACCTTAAGAAGATAGCTCAATATAAGTGGACACCTTAAAGACTTCAAATTAATCACCCTTTAACTAATGACACAACCACTTTAATTAACTGATGTGTTTCTGATATGCTTTATTGATTTGTAAATAAGGCTCATTGCCTCAATATAGAGTGATATATCAATGAGTCTGTACATTACATATACGAATGCATTTGTGCTATCGGCAATTTCTAATGAAATGAATGTCTACATTTGAAATGGCACTACCAAAGTCTATCTAAATTCTGAACTACCAAAACTGTCCATCGAATTGTCAATTAAGTGTGTGGAATATGAGTGGAATCGTAATCTGTTACAGATATAGACCATGTTTGTGTCACTTTTTGAGGGTAAATAATATGCATGATGTTCTTCATATTTGCAAAATTCCGGATTCAACTTGAGTAGGGAAACAACGAAAACTGATATCTGCAAATGACCTGAAAATCTGATTAATTCCTTCTCGATTTTTTAGTCTTTTTATCTTTTTTCCAATTTCAATCTACAAAAAGTGAAAATGATATAAAATTTTGTATAAAAGTAAATTGCGTTGTAATTAAGTGGCATTGTATCCTGCCTCTTGCAACTGTGGGTGGATGCATTCAGTCATGAATACGAAGATTGATTAAAAGGATGCAAATACTTGAAACTTAAATGCTTGATTAATCAATGAGTTATTTTATGTTCTTGTGAAGGAATTCGTGCGATATGTGCTAAAGGAAATAGATCAATAAAAAACATTTTTAAAATTCTTTAAAAAGAAGAATTTCATGTAAATGAAAGGTAGTTGCAGATTCTTCATACGGGAAAGTAAAAGAGTTTAATTAAATTACAAATGAAATACACATGTTACCTGAACTGGATGGTGGTGTGTATTGTACATAGTCACATAAATTATTTTTGATATACACATACTCTTAGATGATATATATATATATATATATATATATATATATATATATATATATATACATATGACTACATAAGAAGAACTATACAATGAGTTTTTTTATATTTGTTCTGGTGCTAGCAAATCTTGAATAGTTAAAATATGCGTAGAATTAGTTTATGTATTATAAATTTTAATTTATATAATTAAAAATATATTTTGTGTTTTTTATGATCTAAATAAATACAATGATAATATCAAAGGAGAAAGCCAAAGAAATTCTTTTCAAGTTTTCCCACTGTTATTGTAATCTATAAACTCATCGTTTTGTGGCTATTAACGATACGCAAACGTCGAAAAGATGTTATGGGCACGGAATGAACATATGATCGTAGAAACAAAAAGTCTAATTTAAAAGACTTGACAAAGGATTCTAAGGAAGATAGCATAACGATAAAGAACTTAGAGATTGTGGATAGGTGTCTTAAAGGTCTTAAAGACCTCGCATTCGTCAACACAGTGCATTATCAGAAAACAACATTTGGAACCCTTTTGATGTAGAGGCGCATATTCGAAATTAGTATCACCTGGAACCTGTATTGAAAGAAATTTTTTTAATGAATGAAAACTAATGCCCTTTTGAATATATTTCTTATAAGGCAGACTCTGAAATTAACAATCCTTTTGATAATTTTCCTAATAAAAGGGTACAATTGAATACAATTATAGTAGTCGTACGTCAATTAAAATCAATATAGATAAGGCTTGGAAATACCATTTAAATAAAATATATGGGAATCCAATTAAATAATATAACAAATATAATGGGTATAATACAATTTATATCAATCGACAACTTAGATTTTTAACTTCAATCGATTCATTTTCTTCTTCAAACGGATTCAAGTTATTTAGTATAGCTTGCTTCAAATTATGTTTGTGACTCTGACATCCTACACATAGATGAAGCACAGAGCTTATGTTATCAGTTTAAATCAAAATATGTTATGACGGAAAAAGGAAACGACGTAGTCCCGAAGCTAATATCCATTTCTTTATTCGTGTTTCCCTATACTATTGGAAGTCTGGACATACAAGCGTTTGGAATTATGCGTTTCTCTTTTTTATGCTTGTCGAACAATATTGCAATTTGATCTTCAGAGATTTTTGTTCCATCCCAGTGTATCGAATACTTACAACTTGTTTGATGCTAGTCTTTACTATTTTTGACATAAGTATCTACAATGCTTCCGGTAATACGTGTTGAAAAATATTCCACCTCCATGAATTTCGAGTAATATTACAATTTGGTCTTATGAACTTATGCCCTTTAAATCTCCGCCTCCTTTAAATCTCACGCCTAAAACTCTTTAAGCTCAAACCTTCAGACTTATTCATATCAGTATGTGCAATTATTCTGGTAATATGTCTAGAAGAATAACTTACTTGAATGATTTTCGAGCAAAATTGAAATTCATACCCTTAAAGGTGTATCCTATTCGCCTGCTTCGAAACTGCCATCTACAACCCGTTGCCACCTACAACCAGTGTAAATACTGGTATTTTTAATACCAGTACCTACAATTCTCTTGATGATACCTTTTAAAAAACATTTACTTCATTGAGGAGTATTGCAACTTGGTAATCTGAAAGTATTATTATATCCATCTGCTTTGAAAGTGATACTTACAACAAATTAGATATTAGTCTGCAGTGTTTGTGATAGTTATATATGCAGTTCTTCTAGTAATACGTGTTAACACAAAATCGATTTCGATGCCTCAATGCCAATCAATATTACTTCTGTTCTATCCACGCACTTTGCATTTGATACTCACAATAGTTTGGATGCTAGCCTGCAATATTTGTCGTACTAGTACCTGAATTACTTCTATTGGTACCTTTTTTTTTTTAGAATAATCCTTGGTTCTACTGCCCGGGCTTTTGATTGCTTAGTGGATGTTGAAAGTAGTTCTTGCTGTTCTATTCTCAAATTATCTTTCTGCACATTGAACGGTGATGCTGCTGGTTATTTCAAGTTAAAGAAAGTCTCAAACGATTTTAATCTTTAAATCTCATGCTGAAGCATTACGCTCAGAAGCTATATGTGGGAAGTTTCATCCATCTTTTCTAAGAACTTATTTACTATTTTAGGTTAAATATAAAGAAATATTAGAAACACATAATTATAATATTAAATTATTATAATTTCTTTATTTTGTAACTTTGTGATTTACACAAAGGAGTTTCCAAACTGAACTCAGTTTTCCCAATTATCTTATAATTTATACTCCTGAGTCATGACTCCTAAAACGTATTGTTCAACTTTTAATTAAAACTCTAATAACATGGCAGGCTTCTGCTTAACTTTCGTGTTTAGAATATCAAAAACAGCTCCACAAACAACAACAAATCACCATCGAACACGAAGGAATGGAAGCACTTTTCAGTTTGGTATTTAGTGATTCGACAGGGAACATTAAATTTGCGTTATTGCTTCATTAAGAAGGATACAAAACTTATGTTGCAAATTCACAAATTGGAATTCTATAGCGAAAACTTTAATTTTCCTAACAAATACGTAGATATCCTTTTTATTTAAGAAAAAAAATAATGTACAAAAAATTTCAATGAAAACTTTTGGGTTGGCTTTAGTGGTTTCTTGTTTGGAAACTATTTGAAGACTGAACCTGACAGCAGCGTTTCTGGTAATTTGAAAGGATATCTTTCTTTGATATTTTACGGAGTTGGAGTTGTATGTCAACTAAAAGCGAGTTAAGTGTGAGAATGCATGTGGGCTATGTAAATATTCAGTAATGGAGCACTTGCGTGCCGATATGTGTCATATTCCTACTTAACCAACAGTTCACTTACACTGCCGAAGTAGGCCAAAGCATTTGTGGTTTGATGACTTTGTTTGCAAAGGTTGAAGTGTTGGCAGAACTGTGAGGTTTCACTGTACAAACTATCACTGCAACCGGAGTGAATACTTACAATATTGTATATATTACTAAAAATTCTTCAGATATTTCATGATAAATATTTAGCAATATTTTCCCAATACTGCGTTATTAACAAAAAAATCCGTTAGTGGTTTGAGGTTTTTAAATTGTATTGAAAGTTCCATTTGGGTAGGTTGGGTATAACCCAAAAATTTTAACGTAAAAATTCCAACTTCTTATTTAATTTTTTTTTAAAATTTTTGTGATTATATTTCATGGTAAACTTTAAAAAATAATTAATTTGTAACAAAAAAATATTAAACTTAATTGGTTTTATATTTTGAAATCTTAGGAAAGTTTTGGTATTAACTTGAAATACTATTGATATAACATTGATGATATAACAATGAAATCCTGCTGGCATTGAGATTCCTATATGCTCTTTGACCTTAAATATACGATTCAATATTCATAGGCTATTTACGTTTTAACTTTCTTCAACTTTCCTAAACCCTTGGTATAGTTATATTTATTATACAATATCTATTGATTGCTGCTTTTATTCTATTTCAAATTCATAACCCAAACTTTCTGCTGCTCTTACAAAATTTTTACAAAAGTTCAAATTTTCATATTCAACTTTTTTCTCTTCCCTCATTTAGCAGTGGAACATAGCAACATTGTTAATGGATTGGATCTACAGGGACCGATATTTCTTCACGAACCTCCACACAGAGTGGAATTTTCAAATAATTCTGGAGGACTTATAGAATGCTCCGGTCATGGCAGTCCTCCACCAGAGGTAAGCAAAATTACGTTAATAGCATTTAAATTACAGACTTTTGGTAATGTATTTGTTGTTTTCACCTTTGTTCACCGCCACTTTATTAAAATTTGGCAAAAATGTGAAAGTAATTTACTAACTTAAATAATATGCGGCTAACAAATTCACGTACCTACAGCTGTGTGGGTGTACGAATTAGAGAAGAGTCTCTCTAATTACACCTTTCCTAATGAACAAAAATTTCGCCTTATATACACTTTTGGGGAAAGGACGAAAAACGAACTGATGTAGTGGGCACCAAAGGATAAGATCCAGGACTTTGATTTTGTGATTAATTATGCATGCAATTTATCACAGCAAATTTGTTAGCTGTCGCTGGGCGAAACGAAGTGGCAACGCTGGCTCTGCATGTTTTTACATTTTAAAATGTAAAATGTTGCCAATTTGCAAGGAGCAATCTTTAAATGGTATTCGTCCGCGCCATTTTATTTGTTGTTATGGTTCGCCAGCACGTTTGTGTTCGTCCTTTCGCATTTTGCATTTCGTGTTAATTGACTTTCAATTTTAATTGCTACAAGTTAACACATTTTATGGGTTCTCCTTTAATATTCATTTTATTTATTTATTTCTCTTTTTGTTCATAAACGCAGGTGGAATGGACGCCTATACCACCGCAGCAGGATATGGTGTTTACGCTATCCAATGGAAGTTTGATGTTTTATCCATTTTCGGCGGAAAAGTATCGTCATGAAGTGCACGCCACAGTTTACAGGTGAGTACCGAAAGTCGGCACTAAAAAATTTGTTACTATTTTTCCAACTTTAAGTGACTCTCAGATGCACATACAAATAAAATGTTAACAATTTTTTCATTTCTGTGCAAAATTTACAATTGCAGATGTAAATTACGAAATTTGGTCGGGACCGTGCTCAGCCGTGAGGTGCACGTACGTGGCGGTAAGTAAGAACATCATATATTTTCACATTTGCATTTCGAAATAAATTTCAGGCAATAAATTTTATTAGCACCTTAAATTTAGTTCTCTATCGCACCCCTCCTTTCCATGCCAATTAAGCTTTTCACACTGGACTGAATAAATAATTACTTCTTTTGGACACATGCAACTGCTCTTGACGCGGTCAACTATTCCGCACGATTTTCAATAAATTCTGATTTAAATCGAATTTTAATTCGTTTTAGTAGCATTTAAAGCCAATTTAATTCAAATTTAATTCATATTTAATTTAATTTGAAACTATTAAAGATATTTTGTCATTTTGCTGACTGGCTGTGCTGAAAAATTAATGCAGCTTTTATCGTAGCTTTTATCGCTTTAACCACAGAACAATTTGCTTAATACCACCAAATCCTGCATTAATGGCTTAAAAATATTTAAATTCGATTTTTTATTACAAATACAAAATAGTTGCCATTTTATGTGCAACTATCAATTTGAATTTGCGTTTAATATTTTTAAATCCCTAAAAAGATTTAAGGACTCATTTTTTAAAGTGCACAAAATTATGTCAACATTTAATAGCAAACCAAAGAAGTTTGAAGGGATCACCTTCATCGAGGGTATTTATTAAAAACACTTTAGTTTATAAATTATTATTACTATCACTTAACTACAGTAAACTCCCAAACAAACGCATATGAAGTATGTCAACTTTTCTTTAAAGTGAATTTATATAAAGCGATAAAAATTTGATCTTGAACTTAAACTTGATCACCATGGTTGGTTGGTTGGTTGCAGTAGCAGCCTATTAGATAACCTCCATGTACCTTAATTAGCGATTTTTTGCCGTTTTGCTACCACATTCCTCGCTAGAACCCTAATATGGAAGAGAAAGGACTCAATCCATCCAGCCGAATTTGAAAATTTTAATAGGTCTTTCTTCTTCACCGATAAACAGTCTGATATCAGACTGCCAAATAAGTATCTTCCTAAGAACATATATCTTCTATATTATGGTTTCTTTTCCCTGCAAGTTTTCACAACTTTTGCAGTGAGGATTATCGGGAATGCGCAGATTCTCTGCATGAGTTTCTACATACCAATGACCAGAAAGAACTGCAGTAAACCTTGCAGTATTCACGCGATCTCTTTTGATGAGTTTCGAGAATCTATTTTTAGTATAGATGGGTCAAGTTAACTTGGAAGTTGCACATGTCTTAACTGTTTTCCATCTGTTATTGGCAAGTTGCAGAAAGTAGAAAATCACCATATAGCGAATATTTAATTAAAACTCTTTTTTTTAATTATTGTTTACACACTTTTACTACAGTAAACTCTCACATTGTACAACGCAAGTTCTATTGAATTCAACAAAAAGTGTACAACGAATGGACTCGTTTAAAATGCTTACGCAAATATGTAGTGCATAAAGGGAAGTTCGAAGAGATCAGTGTATTGTAGGTATTTGTTTAGAACTCTTTTTTTTTATAAATTAATATTACTATAGTTTAACTGCAGAAATTCTCATACAACGCACCCTTCCATAAAACGAAATCACATAAAGTGAGAACAATCAGTTTATGTTGTCGTAAATCGAACAGCCTTGATACCATGACTTGGATTAAATCTACAATTGAAATAGCTCTATTGTGGTAAGAAAAAAGTTGTTCAGTGATTGCCATTTTCAGTCTTGAGTTATACTTAAACAGTTTTTACAAACCATGTCCTTGCATTTCATGCATTTGGATCATAGAAATAAAAAATCATTAGAATTATCAACCTATCACAGTCCTATACTGCATTTTTATTTTCGTTATTTTCTATGGGATTACTCCCAATTTTCAAGAAGATATTAATACTAATATCTAAGTACAAGTATTAATATTAATACTGAGTAAAAGATTCTATTTAAAGTTATTATTTATAGACATTCATATATAGTTCAAACAAATGACATATTAATTCTAACCCAAAAAAAGCCATTAAAATCAAAATCTTTCTGAAATACTGTTGAATGTTTCTATTATTTGTATTTAATAAAAAAAAAATTTTAAATATTATATTTACTTTATAACTAAAAACATATATAACACTTATAACCATTAGAAATACATGAGTTCGCTGCCATGGGCAGGAGTTATTTTTTACTTGTGAACTCATGTCGAGTTCTCTTTTCCTGCAACTCCTCATTTTAATAAAGATTAAATGCAAGCACCCTGTAAATAATCTTTTAAATTAACTCAGTTGTTGTTTGAAATAATACATGCAAAATTTTAAACATTTAATTTTATGGAATTTAAATGCAAATACCCTGTATTTTTTTAAACCATTCTAATAGCTGTTTGAAAAAATATTTGAAAAATTATTTAAAATTATTTACTGTAAGTTAATATTTCATGATATTGGCAAATCAATTAAAAATTTATTGCTTTTAATATTAATTTGAAATTTTTTTGCAACTTTAATATTTTTAATTATTTTCTATAAACATAAATCAACCATTTAAAAGTTAATATAGTGAATTTGAAACAATTGTTATATAAACAAAAAACTGAATTTCAGTTTAATTCATTATTAAAAAAAACATTTATTATATTTTATATCCCAAACAATAAAATTCAAAATGAAGCCATTTCAGTTTTTATTCGATTTTTTGCGTGCAATTTCAGCCAAAGGCCATAAACTCGTAAAAAACAAATGAAATAATTTTAGTTCACAATAAACAGAATAAACAGAAGCGCAGCTAAGCGCTCAGCTGCATTCGTTTTACAAAAAAGAAAAAAAAAAATTATTATATAATAAAATTGCAATTTTTAGAATCCGTATAAAAAAAAAGTTTTGTTATATTTCAAATAATAAATGAAAACAATTTACAAAACATTAAAAACAAAAGTTTTATTTGCAAATGCGCTGTCAGTTCAGAAAAAATTAATACTAATGTTTTCGTAACCAAACTTTATAAAAATAAATAAATAAAACATATCAGCAAATAGAGAATAAAATAACTTTTAAAATATAAACATTCATTTGAAAAATATATTAAAAATCATTAAAAACCGAAATGGCGGCTTTGGACGTCACAATAATTTGATGTCCAAATGAAACAGTTTTCCATTTGCCTCCACATTTCTGTCAGCCATTTTTTATGAATGATCCTGAAAATTTGTGGTCACGCGAAAATATATCCTAAAAAAAAGCGTCCTTAAAAAATTTTAAAATATAAAACTTTTAATTGCCATACAGCAGCTTATAATAAAACAGCACACGCGGGACGGGCTACGGGGGTAGGCAATGAAAGGCTTGAAAGGATGTACGAGTACACATTCGTAAAACTGAAATTCATTTAAACATCAAAGCTTCCCTTCGGTCCCGGTACTGTTCTGTTAGGTTCGGTTTGAGGATTGCATTTGGGAGTCAACGACAACTAAAAACAAATAAAAAATTTATATAAAAATATAAAAAGGATAAAAAACAAATTAAACTTTTTCGTTGCGCTTCCATTTCCGCTGATGTTTCAGTAACCATTTTTCCTTTTTCACTTAAAGCAACGAAAACGAAAAAAAAAAATTAAAAAATAAATAAATTTTATAATTTAACTTACATTTTTATCACAAAAAAATTTATTTTTTTGTTGCTAAACAACAAACCACAAACTAATTTTGTTGAATTTGTCTCGATTTCTTCCTTTGGGTGCACTTCTGTGGACCTGCATTTCGGTTCGAATGTTTTGTAGTTGTAAAATTAATTGAAATTAGTTTGCTTTTTGCCGTTCATAATAATATCCCAAGTTACACAAGTTTTGACCACCTTCCAATTAGCAGAAACACCAAAAAGAAGGTAACAAAAATGAGTTAGTTATGACAACCGGGAAGGTAGCACAACATAGACTTTTTAATATACATTTTATATTTTTTGTTATAAATTTATTTCTAAAACTACATACAATACTTGTCATGGTGATATGACTTGCACAGTAAAATTTTGTGAACAAAATAATTCGGATGACATATCTAAATTTTGATATGGAAAACTGAACATAGAATGGAAGCGATAGGTTAACCGCACAATATTTCAGAAATATTTATGCTTTTATCTCAATTTATTAAAATGTATAAGGTATGAACATAACATGTAACATGGATTATTATCTGCTCATTTCCATCAGACCCACCATCACTACTTATTATCATTAGAAAATATCAAGAACAGAGTAGCAGCAACTTACATTTTTTGGGATATTGGCCCATCCAATATAGACACAAAATAAATTTATAAAAAGCTGCTCACATTTATAGAAAACCTAAGGACTGGTTAAGATAACACTATAGTATATCTGAAATGCAAAGCATAGTATTCTCAACTATTGGAATTTGGATTCGGGAATTGGAAAGCTTTATGCAAAGCTTTATTAATTATTGTATACGGACTAAAGCATGCCCTATTCGGAGAGACCCCTGAAACTACTTTCGCATTACTTCGGGAAGGGTCTCTTTTATGTTGCCGTTTTAAGCCACACTGTATTGATAATCAATCTGGGTCCAGACTTTCACGTTTTCACCAAAACTTTCGTGTAGTTTATACCGAAATCTACATATAAAAAGTATTTGGATGACTAGGTTTATCGTTAGTACATACATATATACTGAGTTTCGAAAAGGAATTAGGTTAGGAGCGATAAAATTAATATAAATATCTTGCATTTTATTATAATACTTTATAGAATGTGAAGCCTTGTATTACTATTTTCTATTCTATTCTATGTCGACTCCTCTAATTTTGTTTTGGACATCTTTTTTCTATATCCATGATGAAGTTATAATGAAGTTATTTTTATCGATTATAATTTACAATATCGCACATTTAGTTTATATTACTTTGATTATAAATAATTTGTTAACCATATTCTTTAATTAAGGTATATATTTAATAAATTATTACTTACCTACTATAATAAGTACCATAATAATATAATTACGCAAGATGAGTTTTAAAAGGGGG